AAAAAAGCTCAGATGATCACATTTCAACGGATTTCGCAAAAAGAATTCATACCTGCCTCGAGAGGAGGATGGGATAATAAAAGCAGGAAACAAACACCTTCCCTTAGTCCCATGTAATTGCTGAATTCCTTTCGTGAAGGGGATACCACACTAGGACTTTTTCAACTTATCTATGGACGTGATTGCGGTCAGGTGCATCCAGGCCTGAGCGTAAGAGCAGTCAGATACATCCAGGAAAATCCTCGTGTAAGCATGGATGGCCTTAGATCTCTCCGCACTGTAAAGAAATTATAACGACGAAAGTTATTATAATGAAAAGTATACTTTGAATTGACGCTAAGCAAGATAATGCATGTAACGTAATAGCAGCCACGAAATCCCTTTCAAGCAACCGTTAGGGAAAGGGGAAAGGCAACCACAATGAAATCTGAAGGTCCCGTGTTCGATCCACGCTCAGCAAAAAACAAAAAAAAACAAAAATTTGTACGCATGTTAGGCGCCTTCAGGACTTCGTTGGAATTTCGTTTAGAGTGGCAAGAACTCAACTGAGAGGGATTTAAGAATCCATTTGCAATTTTGGTAACTTGATTCCGGGATCCAAACGCAGTTTCTGATTCCCCCAAGTCCATGCCGAGCATGTGCTTAACACATCCAGGCAATGACAGCCACAACAAATGGATTAGGTGGTTGTGGGCGCAGCTCTCCTCCGCCAGTGGAGTGAGTTGCAGGTGCGGCCTCCACTGGGGTTTCCACCCGGTGACGCTCCCCCCTCAAAAGAGTTGGTTGCAGATGCAGCTTCGCACCAATACATGGAGCCTCAGCAACAGGAATTTCATCGCGAACACTAAGATTCATACGCCACAGAGAGAGAGAGAGAGGATGAGTTTGGTTGCGCTCAGTCAGTGCAAAAGGCGGGAAAAGTGGCAATTCCTTAAGAAAATACAGGAATTACGTAATCGAAAATTCCTCCGGGATTCCTTAAAAGCACTGATGTCAGGAATTCCTTCAGAATTGCAGGGACTACAGATATCCCTCAGGAACCTCAGGAACCTTAGGAACAACAGGAATGCCTACTGGATTCGACAAATTCCTTACGCACCCATGCAAAGACTCGGCTACGGAACTTTGTCAGAACTTTTTGTTCGCCAAAACGTCGTCAGGTTCCATCAGGATCTCCCCCGCTACTCCCTCCTCCTAACCCCCCCCCCCCCCCCCCCCCGTAAATCCAGTTAAGGATCAGTCCGATGCAGTCACAACAATCATGTTGACAATCACGTGGCGAAGAAGAAGAAGAAGAGGAAGAGGCCAGTTAAGGATAGGATCAGCCCGATGCTTTCACAACAAGGCATCAATACATTATCGATGCATTCACAACAAGGCATCAATACGACGAAAGAGAAGAGAAGAGGAGGAGCAAGAAAAGGAAAAAGAAAAGAAAAAACAAAGAAGAAAGAAAGAAGGAAAGAAACAAAAAGAAGAAGACGAAAACGTCGTCAGCATCCGTCAGATGAATTCACCATAACGATGTGGAGGTGATCGTCCCCTGATGGAAGAGATCTGTAACATCAAGGCATCAATACTTTATCGATACCTTATCGGATGCATTTCTCCTCCTGCTCCTCCCACGATGCATTGCTGGTGATGTCCCATGGGGAGCTCTGGCGACCGAGGGGCTCTTCGCCATCGCAAGGACGAAATTAACACCTCCGGCAGGTGGCGGCCACCAGCAGCGAGGCTCTGCGCTGCGAACCTGTCCACCTTCCGATGATGATATTGATGATGATCATCCACCCATGGAAAAGCACTAATGGGAAAAGAAGTGCTCTGTTGCGAGCAAGAAAAGCGTGTTTCTGAAAACAACCTTGGTAGTGAGGATCCCGTAAGGTCCATACTCATACCCCTACCCCTACCCCTACCCCTACCCATCATCATCATCATCATCATCATTTGAGGTGCAGTCATCGACAATTCCCTGAAAGTGGCCTCATCATGCAGGCTGTTCCCAAGTGATGATGACCGGCACGGCAAACTTTGAAGCTGACATTTCCCCCGCATGTGGCTCATTGACATGCTCGCCGTCGCCATCATAACCGCAACCGGCTTCGTCGTCGTCGTCGTAGCCCTTGTTGTCCTTGACGTCACTACACTGCGGATGCTCCTAGCTCCAAAAAGCACAACGTGGCTTTTGAACAAACTGTTGCATTCATTCAAAGGACTGTTGTTCGTCAGCAACCCAAGCCGATTGCCGAAACACCACGAAAAAAAAAGAAGAACGCATAGGAGTTTCAGGATGCAGCTTTACCATCTAACGCAACTAATAATCACAATCATCATCATCATCATCATCATCATCATCATAATCATCATCATCATTATAATCGTCATCGTCATTGTGATCATCATTATGATCATCATTCATCATTTAGCATCGTTGTTGATGCTGTTTGTGTATCAGGGCACCACTCCTGGCGCATCATTTTTCTGCAAGGTGATTTGCACTGAGCACAACTTCTGCTCAACAATAAAGCAGCAGCGAAAACCACGGACCTCGTCACCTATTTCAATCACTACCCGCGGTTGCCAGTCAAAAGATTTCTTTTCTTTGAAAAATAAATAGAAGCATGTTAAAAGCGAGCCCCCTTGTCCACCACCTGAAGCAGAAGCAGTGGTCAGGATCTCAACTCCATGGGGATGTCCGATAAAACAGTCTGGCACAGTAAATGCTTTTTCGTGGAGTTGTGTGTAGCGAACATGCACACACACACACACACACACACACACACACACACACACACACACACACACACTCACAGATGCGCGCGCGCGCGTGCAAGGTGATAGGTGAACGCACGCCAGGGAGAGGGAGAGCGAACAAGGGAGGTAGGAAGACGGATTGCACCCGTTCAAGCGGGCGGGGAGAGGTTTGGAAGATGCAGCTGCAAACAAGACAGGGAGAAGGCACAATGTCGAGGAGGAGGAAGCGGGCAATGTCAAGCGGCTCGCGCAAAGAGCGACAGAAGTACCCAGCCCATGTGGTTGATTCGCACACATGTAGTAGCAGATCACGAGGTTGTGTCCTAATCGAATCGGATCAATACAACAATATGAATAACGTTACGACAACTTACGAGGCTAAACCCTTTGAAAAACGTAAAAAAAAAGGACGACGACCACATGGAGGCGGTAAGGAAACGCAGGGACTGTCGAGCACGGGCGTTCTATTGACGAATGGGGGGGGGG